ACGCCGTACTTTTGAGCACATTCAGCATGTTCTTTTTACAATGATAAATGGATTTTTAATAACTGGGTTGATACCCGCGAGCTTGAAAACCGCACTTGTAAAACCAATTTTCAAAGGAGGATCACCTAATAAACTAGAATGCTATAGTCCTATTTCTATCGTGCCCTGCATCGAGGAGATACTAGAAAAACATCTTTACATTGTAATGTCCAGTTATATTAAGAGTTTTGACATACTGTCACGCAGCCAATATAGGTTTGTAACTGGCAGGGGCACGCAGTCTTTGCTTGAAGATTTTTCAGACCTATTACATCGTTGATTTGACTGTAACCTCCGTTCTTCTGCTATCTTTTTGGATGTGGCTAAAGCGCTCGACACGGTCAGCCACAAAGTGTTGCTTCATAAACTTTACGAGTACAGCTTCCGCGGTCCCTTTTATAGCATACTCCAAAGTTTCTTCTCTTAACGTTCGCAAATTGTGTCGGTAGGAAATTTCAAAAGTACTCAAGTAAGGCTCAAAGCTGGTGTCCCACAAGCTACGGTTTTGTCTCCTTTGTTGTAGATGACACTGTGTTAGTCTCTAGTCAACTTGATTTTCACCACTCTGTACGGTTATTGCAGCATGACATAGAAAGAGTAATGGACTAGTTTTCTGATAATTTATTCACGGTTAATGCAGCTAAAACAAAACTTGTCTGCTTCCTAAATCCTTTGAAGCGTACGCCTCTTGATACGTCGGTTGCTCTGCGTAGGTCTAATTGCAGAGACTGTGAGTGCCCCACTTTGGATTTCGTCAGTAGCGTCCAGAACTTAGGCGTATTTTTTTATTCTGACATGTCTTGGGCAACACACTTGTCGCACGTCTCTGATAAACTTCGAACTGTTAGCTGTTTCCTTTTCAACAACCGTATTTTTAAGTCATTTGCTGTCCGACGATCTACCGCTCATGCGCTGGCTTATAGTGTACTTAGATACGGTATAACGTTATTTGGTAATTGTGCAGAACTCTGGCAGAATAAAGTAGACCACATTTTGAAAGGTTTATTGAAAGGTGCTGCATATCAGCTTGCTTTTCCTGTGGATACTGATATATATGAAGTTGCACAAATGCCGAGTTTCCGCTCACTATTCTTAGAATGTGTCCTGCTACGCCACTTCTGGTGTAATGATTTTAAACATCCACTTGTAGCACGTAGGGAGCTTCGCAGCTCAAATCGTTTCGAGACGCCTCATTGTTATACCAGATACGGTAAGCGAGAGTGTGCTTATTATGTACCTTTCATTTTTAATAAACTTCCCGATTTCTTCTTCCAAGCTACAACAAAAAGGAAACTGAAAAGGCTGCTAACCAATATGTCAATCTAGGTCCGTTGCATGGGCTTTTGCTACATCCTGGCGCCGTGTATTGGTGTGTAATACTGTATATCATGTTTTTTTAACATATGATGTGACTTCGTTATTATTGTTGGAGTGCGTCTGTTACTGAACTTTTTTTCTTTCTTTCTTTGTATTTTGTCGCTTAACTTATGGTCTTGTCCTTCAAGCCTCCTATTGGCTTCGACAGACCCGACTCTGTATCTTGTTTCCATTTCATATCATGAATATTAATAATATTATTAATTATATATAATATTATATATATTATATATTGTTGCGGGCGTCTCAGTTCATGGGCTAAACGGGCAACCCAGAATTCAGTCCCCCATTCTCCACACGACCTCGTCTTCTTCTTCTCCTTTTCTTCCTTTTCGTTGTCCGTTACACTCGCCCCTCCCCGTTCGGAAGTCCGTCCCGGACGATGCTAAGATAGTCACCACGTGTGACATAAAGTTTCAGATGGCTTGAATGGGCTGTCAAAGTGCGGCGTCGCCCACGCTGAGGCAGGCTGTCAAGGTGTTCGAGACGGTATGTTACGGGTCCAAGTTGCCTGCTAATCTTGAAAGGTCCACAGTACCTGGGCAAAAGCTTTTCCGAGTGCTGTGGACATCTTAGGTTCCTTCGAAGAAGCACCACATCACCTGGTGAAAACGACGGCAATGAGGTTTCCCTGTTGTGACGTTCGGCCAACTTTGATTGCTTATTTAGAATAGCCAGCCGAGCCAGTTTTCTGGCTTCACTTAGTCGTTCAGCGAAGTTCTCTTCATACTCTCGCGCCCGACGGGTCCACGCAGCGCCCATCGATGATTCCTGCGGAAGCGTCGGGAGTCTTCCGTAAACAAGCTCAAATGGAGATTTGGCGGTCACTTCCTGTTGTGAAGTGTTCAAAGCGAACGCCGCTGTACCAATGAATGTGTCCCAGTTCTTGTGAGATTTATTGACGAACGCAGCTAATATATCTCCAATGCTGCGGTTGGTGCGCTCTACTAGGCCATTCGTTTGAGGATGGTAGGGTGAAGCGGCCGCATGTTCAATTCCGTAATCTCGCAGAGCACAACTGAAAGTATGGGACATAAATGACGTTCCCCTGTCAGATATTATCCGGCGGGGTGTGCCATGCCTCAATACAAGGTGTTTGTTGACGAAGGCGACGAGATGCACAGCTGAAGTGTCGGGGACCGCCTCCACTTCGACCCACTTCGTCAGGTAGTCTGTTGCGACAATGACGTACTTGTTTCCATCATCAGATTTTGGAAAGGGCCCCAGGTGATCGATTCCAACTACCTCAAACGGGCTGCCTGGAGGTGGTATTTGCTGTAGTTCGATCTTCGCCGGGTGCGGTGGTGTTTTCCGCAGTTGGCATGTTGCGCAAGACGCGACGTACTGTCGGACATCCGTCCTGAGGTGCGGCCACCAAAATCTCTTGGCGACTTTGTCGAGCGTCCGGTGTTGCCCGAGGTGACCCGCAGTTGGAGCATCGTGGCACATCTCAAGAACGTTCCGACGCATTTTGGGGGGAACTACGGGGAGCCACGCTCCTGAGGGATGTGCTCGATGACACAGCAGACCGTACCGAAGCTGGTAGTACGCTCGTAGACGCCGTAAGCGACGTTCTGAAAGTCGCGATCTCCCGTTCACTTCGTCAGAAAGCAACTGGATTATGTTGTATGTGTCACATTCTTCTGCTTGCGCTGACTGCAAATCTAGGAGTGCGAGTACAGGAGCAACTCTGGCGTCTTCGATGGGGTGCCGTGAGAGGAAGTCGGCGTCTTGGTGCTGTTTCCCACTTCTATGAACGATCGAGAAGTCCAACTCTTGCAGTTTCATTGCCCACCGAGTCAATTTTGGAGTTAGATCGTTTTTTGACTGAAGCCAACGGAGAGCAGAGTTATCTGTCACGACTGTAAAATGCTTTCCGTAGATGTATGGACGGAACTTTTCCACTGCCCAAACAACAGCGAGGCACTCGAGTTCTGAAGAATGGCATCGACTTTCTGGTTCGCTAAGTTTGCGGCTTGCGAATAATACGGGATGTTCTACTCCTGCATTGTCTCTCTGGAGAAGAACAGCGCCAAGCCCTTCGCCACTGGCATCAGTGTGAATGAACGTCGGTGCTTCTTCTGAAAAATGAGCCAGGGTTGGTGGTTCAAGAAGTGCTCTTTTGATATCAGCAAAAGAAGCTTGTTCTTTTGCGGACCAACGCCACTTGGTGTCTTTTTTAAGAAGCTCAGTCAGTGGAGCAGCTCTTAGAGAGAAGTTTCTTACAAATCGACGAAAATAGGACGCAAAGCCTACAAAGTTTTTCAACTGCTTTGTGGTTGTAGGCTCAGGAATATTGGCTAGCGCTGCCAGCTTGGTTGGATCCGGGCGAATACCCTCTTTGTTGACAACATGCCCTAAGTAAATGACTGTGTCGCATCCGAAGAAGCATTTCGATGGTTTCAGACGGAGATGCGCATTGGTGAGGGCATTCAGCACTAGACGCAGACGGTGCTGGTGTTCTTCAAAAGTGTCAGCGTATACGATGACATCATCAAGATAAACTAACGCCATCGTCCACTTCAGGTGTCCAAGCACCCTATCCATAAGGCGTTGGAAGGTCGCAGGTGCATTGCAGAGTCCGAATGGAAGACGGTTAAACTGGAACAATCCGTCAGGAGTCACAACGGCAGTTTTTTCGGAATCTTTCGGCTCCAGCTCCACTTGCCAATATCCGGACATGAGATCCAGAGTAGTAAAGTAGCTGGCACCATGAAGGCGATCAAGGGCATCATCAAGTCGTGGCAAAGGATACACGTCTGGTTTTGTTATGCTGTTAAGTTTCCGGTAGTCCACGCAGAATCTTGTAGAACCGTCTTTTTTCCTAACCAGGACAACTGGTGACGACCAAGGACTGTTGGAGCTAGGTATAATGTCCCTTTGAAGCATGTCGTCTACCTGGTGGTTTATCTCCTCCCGTTCTCTCATCGAAACACGTCTTGGATTGTGATGTACTGGAGCGTGATCACCAGTATTGATGGTGTGGCGCACAAGTGGTGTGCACCCTAGCTCTTCTGGTGTAATAGCAATGCACTGCCGAAAGTCCAAGAGCAGTTCTTGTATCTGTGCCTTTTGTTGTTCTGTTAAGTTGTGGCCGAAATTAAATTCCGACCATGGAAGGTCACTAGCTTTTTCAAGGCAATCTTGCGGGACAGACATTGCTGGTGCCGCACTAATTGTTGAGACAGTGGCATGTGACAGGGCAAATGTCACAGGTCCGAAGTCTTCACCGGATTTCAGGAGCAGGTCACCAATCGTCAGGTTTAAAACTGGAAGCATCAAACTCCCCTTCTCGCAGGAAACAAGGCAGCGAGGTATAGCAAACTCCATCCCAGGACGAGATTGTAGCAGTGATTCAACTAGGATATCTCTTGACGTCATTGAACCTGGAATTATTGCTGTAGCCCAGACTGCAGATAACTTAGGTACAACAATGTCCGATGCTGCGACCATACGGAAGACCTTCTGTGGTTTTCGATTGACCATCGGTGCCATTAGTGTAGACACAAATGTCGTAGCAGTTGCGACGGTAGAACACACTTGGGCTGCCGCGGTCTTCGTCAGGTTTTTCAAGCTGGACCACGCTAGGATAAATCCATCGAATAAGTTCTCAAAATTCCAGGAAATTGCTTCTTTGCTTCCCCCGCTATCTCCTTGGGGCCACTCTGTCGCAGAACAACTGGACTGATCGCCAGTGCTGAAAGTTGGTACGGCTGACAAACAATGTTCACCTCCTCGAAACGATGGGGAGAGTTGGACGTTTGAACACCAGTCACGGCCGAGTATCATTGACCATTGTAACTTGCGCACAATTACAAACGGGAGGTTGACTGTTGTTCCTAAAGTTTCTACAGTCAACGAGATCTGTCCTTCTTGTTCGATTGTAGAACCGTCGGCTGATATAAGACAGACGGTACCAGAAAGTGTTTTGGGCGTGGTACACTTTGCTGATTGCAGTAATGCATAATCGATTAGACTTACTGCAGCTCCGGTGTCCACGATAGCATTCACATGTTGTCCCAACTCATGAAGATGAACTGAAAGACATGGCGTTGGCGAGGTGCGCACTGGCGTTGTCACAAGAGGAACATGATGCACTACATGAGATTCAACCTTGCCAGGCTCACTGTCACTTGAAACGTTTGGCGTTGGGATAGGTTGCATTTTGCACGGGGCCAAGTGATTTGGGCAGGATCGAGCTAAGTGCCCAATGTCACCACACGTGAAGCAACGACGTTTACTTGAACGTACCGGAGAAGATCGGTGAGCCACCCGTGAAAGCTTGATTCCAGATGTCGACACCATGTTCATTGCTTTGTTGGCTGCTTGAACTTCGAGTGCGCGAGCCAGTGCTGCACGAGTCGTGGTTGGGTGGGCGAGTCGCACAAGAAGCTGGATGTCGGTGTCTTCGATTGCGTCCATGAAAGCAGTGGTTGCTATCTGCTCCAAGTCGACTTCCGTACATCCGACGAGCGCTCTTCTCGCCATCCTCTGGATTACGTCAGCTAGCTCCTGGAGTGTGTCCGTGCCTTGGCGGTGGTGCTTTAAAGCAGTCAGGTGAAATTGCTGGAGTGTTCATCACCAAAGCGGGACTTTAGAGCTTCTATGAGTAGTTGATATGAGGAACGACTTGTGGCAGACATGCTCTCCAAACATTCAGCAGCGTTCCCCCTTAACTGGGCCACCATTGCACGAGCTCTGGACGTTGAGTCGAACCCGTAAAAGTCCGCAACCGTTTCGAATTGGATGATGAAGGCTTGCCATGACGACTGCCCATCGAATGTCGGCAGCTTGAGTGGCGGTCCGTGGTGCACAGGCAGTCGAATTCGAGATTCCACGGACGAAAGGCCGTCATTGAGGCGTTGCCCTACATCGGCAACCTGACGTTCGACTGCAGATTCCAGCAGAGACAGACGGGTTGCGAGGCAATCGTCGAGGGTTCCAAGCGGGTTCACAATGTCCGTAGCACTCCTTTCGGCGAGCAGATTAGCTAGCCGCTCCGTGATTTGCATCGCCGCGGAAGTTGAGATGACGCCACTTGCCTCCAATTGGGTTGCCATTTCGTAATCCCACCGCTGCCACCAAATGTTGCGGGCGTCTTAGTTCATGGGCTAAACGGGCAACCCAGAATTCAGTCCCCCATTCTCCACACGACCTCGTCTTCTTCTTCTCCTTTTCTTCCTTTTCGTTGTCCGTTACAATATATAAAGATTATTATTTTTTGATAAGAGACGTCATCGGCGACGTTGATGTGTTTGTACTATCCGAGATCAACGCTCACGAGGCATTAACTGAATGTTTTCATCTCGATGGCTTTAACCAATTTTGCTTCACGTGACACGGCAGAAGAGGGGGCGGTATTGCCGTATTCGTAAAGAATGGGTGGCACGCAGAACGTCGGGATTTCACGCTCGAAGCAGCCGAATACTTAGCTCTAAAAATAACAAACTCACAATGCAGTTTCTTTCTGCTTGCTCTGTACAGACCGCCATCTGAAAGCATTATCAGCTTTATTCAAGAGCTCGGGACGGGCACTCGAGAACCTGGAGGCTGAACGGTGTTTATGCATTACGGGAGATATTAACATTGATACGCTGGTACTTTTTAAAAGCAACGTGGTGGATTACTTAAATTTGCTTGCGGAATTCGGAGTTGATTGCCTGATTGACTCGGCAGAGGAGCATCTTTTGAGCAAGTTGGTGTCAACCTGTATAGATCATTTGAACATAAGAGCGCCTGACGCTTTATTCAGATCAGCCGTGATTGGCCAGAAATTGGCGGACCATTTCTTTATTGAGTGTCGTTGTGTTTTTTGGGGAGAATCCGCAGGACCGCTCCCAACCCCGACGAACAATCACTATAGTTGACTGGAAACGTTATGATGAGCTCATCAGGCGTTACTTCTGGAAGGATCTTGTTTGCTCGTCAAGTACATCCGAACTTTATGACAGTTTTACTTAAGTTCTAAATTCCTTAAAGCTGTACTGCAGAAAAGAGGTGAGAGTTCGAAAAAGAAAACCTTACCTTCCGTGGTTGGATGCTGGCATTTTGGCAGCAATTAAGCAAAAGGAGCTGGCATGGGCTCGCAGCAGAAATAATCCCCAGAGGAAAGAGCTAAGACAAGACTTTAGGATAGCCAGAAACCGCGCCAACGCCATGTTGCCCTCAGCTAAAAGAAGACATTGCAAAAATTAATTTCTTAAATCAAATCGTGACTTTGCCAAGACATGAATGAGGTCTTATAAACGAACTTCGCGGGATTCCTGTGCGCGCAACCTCTGAATTGGAGATCTGTTTTGGACGCGATGCATTTTCACTCGCAAACGACTTTAATGCTTATTTTGCTTTGTTTGTGGGAGTTGTCAAAGACCGGGAGGAAAGAACCCTAACCTTAAAGAGAAGCGTAGTTCCGTCTGCTTTCCTTCCGTGCTTGGACAGGCAGCAGTTGTATTCTTTACTGTCTGGCCTCAGCTCCAACAAACCCGCTGGTGGAGACACTATTGGAATAGGAGAACTCCGAAGAAACTTTGACGCCTTGTGTAATGTGCTACTAGTTATTCTAAACGAAATACTAACTTCTGGTTGCACACCGGTCAACCTAAAGACTGCAATGGTTAAGCCGGTATTCAAGGGTGGGACTAGAGGAAAATTTGAAAGTTATCGCCCAATATCAATTTTCCCTTCGTTGTCTAAACTTTTGGAGAAATATCTGTTCAAATGACCTCATTTTTTGGGAAGCATGACTTTATGTCGCCCTGCCAATGGTTTTGTCAAGGGTCGCGGCACACAGCCTCTACTGGAAGAGCTATAGGACGTGTTGAACACCAGTTTCGATAATAATCAAATCTCCTGTGCTCTGTTTCTTGATGTATCCAAAGCTTTCGACAAGGTTAGTCATGACATACTGCTTCAAAAACTGAATCTTTATGGTTTCAGACGTCCATTTCATTCCCTTACTAACTTTTTAACCAACTGGTCTCAGATGACTTTGGTTGGCAACAATAAAGTTCTAGAGCTTGGCTGAGAGCGGGAGTGCCACAGGGCTCTATTTTGTCACCTCTATCATTTAACATTTATGTTAACAACGTGTAATGTTGTATTCAAAACTGTACCCTTTATCAGTACGCAGATGACACCCTGCTTTTATCTCGCCATATGCAATACAGTACCGCGATAGATATGCTACAAGATGACGCCATACACCTGATGGATTGGTTTACGTCAAACCTTATTAATATCAATTGCTCAAAAACAAAACTTGTCTGTTTTTCAAACCCGCTGAGGAGTATTTGCCTAGATAGGCCCTTGATTTTGCATACGTCATGTTGTGCCGATTGTACATGTGGTCCTGTTGAATATGTTTGTGATGTTAAGTACATGGCAATTGTGTTAGATTCTGATTTATCCTGGAACACGCAGAAGGCAAATATTTGCAAAAGAATGAGAAGAGTATCCTGTCTATTGCATTTTATTAAAATGTTTGTCCCGATGTCAATTCGGATACTTATTATGCAGACACTGGGATACAGTATTTTAAGGTATGGCATTACTTTATTTGGAAACTGTCCCAGGCGATGGCATACCAGGATTGATGGTATCTTGAAAGGTATGCTGAGAATTGTAGCTTACAACTCGGAGTTTCTTGCAGAGGACAACTTTTTTAAATCGTTTCAGTTTCCCAATTTTAAGACCATGTTCAAGCCCACCATTATCAACAGGCACTACTGGGACAGTTCTTTTAAGAATCCCAAGCATGTGTCTAGGTCTTTCAGGAGCAATCAACGGTTTGAAGTGCCCAGAAGAAGAACGCATTATGGAGAAAGCGTAAGATCATTTTACCTACCAAAGATATTTAATGAGCTTCACGAAGACTTACATAGCATAGAGTCGGTGAAAATATTAAAGAAAGCTCTCAAGTGTGTTTGCTAAGGCCCATCTCAAGACCGATCGAGAAAAAAGAATTGTCATGTTTTGTGTATCTCTGCATTAGGTTTGATGGTAATTCTGTGTCACATAGTGTGAGCAATCATATTAAATTACCATTTTTTTCTATTAAGTGACTCCGGAAACAAATTTTGTTAGCATTTGTGTTTTTCTGTTACACTTCACGAGCAGCATGCTCATCAAGATGGTGTTCATCATACAAGCCCTAGTAGGCTTTGATGAACCCGTGTTTGTACCTGGTTCTGTGTTCGTGCAATAAACTATTATTATTATTATTATTATTATTAAAAGAAGAAGAGGAAGTCAATATGTCCGGGCATTCGCTGTAATCGCTCTGAGAATTTTAATTTAAACTCTTTATTCGACGACCTTTAACTCGCCTAATAAATGGTTTAATGGGGAGTTAGACGACCTCATCTTACCGGCTCAAGGATCGACATCCACTCGTGGCTTCTGATTTACTGCTTCGAAGATCGCGGCTGCAGCCCCGTTCATCACCGCCATTACTGTCCATCGACCATTCAGTCAGCAGTCGTTGCCCATGCCCATCCGTGACGTTCGGCGACTTTCTGCGACTCAACGTCAACCCTGGGCCAATGAGCGAACATCCACGGACGCGCCTTGCCGGTAACCGACCATCAGTGCTTTGAGGAGTTCCATTTTCTCGGCGACCGTGTCAAGCTGCTTTTGATATACTGTTTCGCTGGTGTAACCTGTCTAGGTGTGGTTACAGTACTTAAATTTTTTCTACCTATTTTAATGTCATTTAATTTGACGATTATGTCCCTTGTTTGCGACGCTTGCCAAAAAGGCATTTTGCCTGATGGTAGACTCATGACATTCTCAGTTTGCGAGCATAACTACCATCTCGGGAAAACGTGCTCCGGCATTGCCGAGTCCACATTTGCTGCCATGAGCCCCGACAAAAAAGAAAAATGGAGTTGCAAAGTTTGTCGTTCTAAGAACAGTCGTGCTGATATAGACGGGGTCAATGCTAGCTCTGACTCGATTTCGTCCCGCGAAACCACGACACTCGCGGCGCAAATCCTGACCATCAACGAAAAGCTAGATTCATTACTTTCTGTGAAGGCTAGCGTAAATTTACTACTCGAGCTTCCCGCAAAGGTAAATGAGCTTTTGCTCCTCAAGCCTACCATAGATCTCATGAAAGTGACTGTGGAGGAGGTTCAAACTTCCATTTCCTTCCTAGGAAAGAAATAAGATAGCCTCCTCGCCACGGTGTCTGCTCATGCGACCGACATGGACGAGCTGCGTACGGAAGTGGCTTCTCTGAAGGACACGGTTTGCGAACAGGCACATACTATCCAAAGCCTCCAAACCGAGATGAACGACGTTGACCAACGCGGTCGCTAACATAATATGGAAATTCATGGAATGACCGTCAAACCCGACGAGGCTCTCCTTTCCATCTTAGCGGGGCTGGCAGACAAGCTAGAAATTCCGGGACATCAACCAGCTGATGTCGTGTCGGTTTTCAGGCTACCAGGCAAACGATCTATAAAACCACCTATTTTGGTCAAGTTTACATCTGTAGCCACTAAAGACAAATGGATGCAAGCTCGTAGCAAGCTCAGGCAATTGTCTCGTGACGATAGACCCGAAAGACTGTATTTCAACGACAGCTTAACTCAGACCAACAGAGAACTTTTGTGGCAGGCACGGGCTCTTGGAAAAGAACGCGATTACAAAATTGTGTGGGTCAAAAACGATCGAATTTATGCAAAAAAAGAAGAGGTCGCTTCTCCGGTACGGATTCAACAGAGAAGTGACCTGGACCGAATCCCATAACCAACATGGCTAGTTTCTTACAGTGCGCCGATTTTGTCTCATTTAATAGCTCGTTTTCTCCTTCTTCAACCGACTCTTTTATGGTCTCACACATAAACATTCGCAGTATTCGAAAATACTGCGATGAATTTAAGACAGTTGTTGATCAAATGGGAACCAAATTGATGCAATTCTGCTAACAGAAATCAATGTCAGTGCTGATGATCTGTCACAGTTTAATATTTTAGGATTTCAAACTTTCTTTTATACACGGTCAATTACTAGAGGAGGAAGAATCGGCGTATTTATAAAGAACTCATGGTCAACA